ACAATTAAAAGTGACTTGTTGTTTGTTAATTGTATAAGTCCGCACGTAAGGTCAAACTTAGTTAGTAAACTACATAATTTTCACCTTGTTTGATATTAAGTTAATCATCACCAAACTTTTTTTTTAAATTTTTTCTTATGTATCCAAGTTAATTTAACCCATCATTTATGCCTCTCTTGATCTTTCACCAACTATTAGAACTACTCGTCCAGCTAATCGAGTTGCTTAATTTATCAATAGAGTGGAGGCAATGCCTTTAGTCCTCTTACTTTTGGTTTAGTTGACAAATTTTAATACTGCATATTACATCTCTTATAATTTGGTACATAAGAAATATGAATTGAAGGAGTTAGTTGACTTGATTTTGGAACTTAAAAGTTTCCTCACCAGTTATTCAAATTATGAATAAGACTATTTCAAGATAACAGATTTAATCGTTACCTTTCTATCATGTTCAATTGGATCTTTCTGCTCTGTGTTGAGCAAATATATCTGGGAAATTCCAATGGAGGTTATCTAACTTATATATTATTTCGATTGTGTTACACGTACATAATTGATTTACGTATACATGAGGTAGTGATATATGATTGGCTAGAATTTCAAAATAATAATAATAATAATAATAATAATAATAATAATAATAATAATAATAAATAAAATGAGAAATTCTCCACTCTCTTTTTGACATCTCATCTGTATATAAACCATTATATAATTGTTTATGTAAAAGTAGCGTTATTCATATTATTTTATGTTGGTTTGGGAAGTTCAATTTATTTTCTTTTGATAACTCAATATACATTTTGGTCTTAATTTGATTATTCCATATGTAACCATGAATCCATTATCCATCTTAATAGTTAGCTAAGCCCATAGCTAAGCCCTCTCTGCGGTGGAGGTAATGAAAAATTCTACAACGAATAAAGATGAAAATATAAACCAATTTATAAGTGATTTGACTACTCCTCTTAAAAAGGTGGGCATTTTAAGATGAATCTCAAATCTTAACATGTTATTATAACTCATTAAACTCAAATGAGTAATTCGATTCAACTAAGACTCGAAAAATGAGTATACGGATTTCGAAATTGGTTTGCTCAAACGAGCCACGATCTTGTGGAACCCCAACTCTTAGTATAGGGGAGGGTGTGATGACTGTACCCACAACATTTAATTTTTTTTTAAATTATACATAATTTTTTAAGAAAAAATATATATGTACATGTATATTTTGTTTTCAACATTTTTCAATCCCCTT